TGAGCCCTGAGGGGCTGTGGCTTTTTCATCTCTGTATTCCCAGCGCTGGGTTCACAGTGGGCATCCAATAAGCATTTAGGGAATCTATTTGAGAGGAGGTGCTCTCTGCTCTGATCAGGGATGCTGTACCAGGCCTCATCGTGGCCTGGATGAAATAATTTTCTGGCTCTACCTGCCTTTGGTCTGATTCTGTGGTCACCAAGCAACCTTCTGGTTATTAATTTCATCTCCCAAGTTCTCTATGACTAGGGAGGAAATACACTGGATAAATGATGGGAGTGTTCTGGCTGTGATATGCTGGTTTCTACATCAGCCTCTTGTGAGAATAACTGAGTCCATGCCTGAGATGCTGACTAGCTGGTATCTCTGAACATGAACAGAACTGAGTTCTTGAGCTTCTAAAACAGAGTACTAGACCCTGGACTGGGTTGACCGCACCAAGATAAAACTCTTTCGGAACCACTGCCTAAGCAGTCAACCAGCCTCCTAACAGGTCCTCTTCATTTTTGCCTTCAAACCAAAATTCTGTTCCCCACATAAGTGTAATTTCAATGACAGCTTCCTAGAGATCTACCATCACATTACATTCCTGAAATCTTCCCACTGTCCAGCAATGCTGCTGGGGAGAGGCCAGGACCAGGAAGAGAGAGTGAGTTTGATCAGCCCACCTCTGGGCCCGACCTGTGACCAGAAGGCAGTTCTGGGCCAGAGTAAAGAAGACAGGCACTGGAGTCAGGGACTTCCGGCCCGGCTATTCACTACCTCTGTGATCTCAGGTGAGAGACTTAACCTCTTGGAGGCACAGTTCCCTCATCTGTAAAATAGGGATAACAATTATGCACACCAGATATGGTTGTGAGACTAAATTTAAAAATGCATGTTAAGAAATTAGCACTGTTCCTGAAACATAGAAAGCATTCAATAAAAGAGAGCTCTTACTATTTTTATAATCGGCACGATACTTGTCTGCTGGGCATACCTGGTAGACAGAGCTGTTCTGAGAGTCGGTTCTGATGATGGCCATTACCTTCTGTTTCTCCCACAGCCAATAGACAAGGTTTGACTCTGGAGGTGATGTCTGAGTCAACAGGTATTTGGAGTCTGGAGAAAAAGCCATGCTAACAAATTTCTGAACTGGGAAGTCAAAATTATTAAGGATTTTGCGCTTCCGGCAAGGGATGGACGACAGTTCATAAATGGTGATGACAGGTTTTTCTTGCACAGTCTCGGAGACAGCGAGGTATCGCCGATTGGGACTGATGGACAAGGCCAACATGTCCTGACTCTTGTCTGAGCCTGCAAACAGAGGTGGAAGGGGATAATGAGGGTAGATCACGCTTTCCCCAAGATCCAGCATGAACCGGGCACAGTGGTGGGCAGTGCTGATGCGACAGGAGACAAGAGCAGATACGGGTAACTGTCAATCCGTGCGGTCCCTTGGTACAGCTATGTCTGGGGTATTATGAAGTGACAAGGATGGGCATCTCACTGAGGCCAAGGTGAAAGGAGAAGTCAGGGAACGATTCCCGAAGGAGGACAAAGTGGGATGGGGGATCGGCAGGTGGTAGGAGGAGCAGAGGTGCAGATGTGAGAAAGGGTACAGCCTGGTGGGAGAAGCGCAGACAGTGGGCTACTGCTGGAGCACTGGATGTGAGCCAGGGGCCACCAAAGACAGGTCTAGAGGGGTGGGATAGGGTCAGGTCATAGATGCCTCTATGCCTTCAGTGGCTGGCACTCAATGCTCTTGTCTACTTTTGAGGCTGGGATGCTGACTACTGGCTTCCTCAGACTCCCTCCCAGTTAGGTGACCTATGTGATGTTCTGACCATGAGACAGATGCAGAAGTCTGCTGGACTGGCTTTATGGTGAAGTTGTGCTTTCTTGAAAACCAGGATGGATGCACTCTACTCCTCTTTTCCTGGAATATAGAGGTGATATCTGGAGATATCTGGAGTCATCTTGCAACTGTGAGGTAACGAGCAAAAGAATGACAGCCATGGTCCTCTAGAAAGCAGAGCCTGTGGCAAAGATTCAAGTGCACGTACTTTATTTGGGAAATGCAGAGTCACTTTATGATTTTCCTGGGCCCTAGGTACTTTTGCTTTCACGGGCCCCTTCCTCCATTAAAAAATGTTAAAAATTATATTTTGTGACTGCATTGGTATAAAGAGGAATATAATCCAAGTTGGATTCATTATTATATATTATTATTAAATTCATTTTTTCCTGATTTTGAAATAAGTTAAAATTAAAATATGTTCTTGGGTCCCTAAAAGTATCATGGGCCCTTGGCTTGTCCCTACTGCACCTTGTGGGTAAGTCCTCTATCTCAGTCAACAGCAACTCCATCCTTCCAGCTGCTCAGGCCAAAAACCTTGCTGCTTCCTTTTCTCTTCCACCCGACCTCAGGTCTATGAGGAAATCTGTCAACTCCACTTTCAAAACACAGCCAGGATTTGATCTCTCATCACCACCCCTATTGCCTGCAGCCTGCTCCAAGCTACCATTTTCTCTCACCTGGATTATAGCAATAGTCTTTCAACTGGTCTCCCGCTTCCTCCCTTGCCCCTCCGTAAATCTATTCTCTATACAGTAGCCAGAATGAACCTGTTGAAACACGTCATATCATGTTACTCTGCTCAGAATCCCTCCAGTTTCTCATTTCACTCAGAGTAAGAGCCCTTGACCTACAAAGCCCTATGTGCTGTTGCTCTCCATTACTTCCCTGCCTCACCTCTCGCTCCCTACTCCTCCATTCACTCCACTCCAGCCACACTGGCCTCCTTGCTGTTTCCTAACACACTAAGCACCACGCTAACTCAGAGGCGCAAAGGTGAAAGGCAAAAGTATACAGCAAAAAAGAGATAATATAGGAGAATATATTAATAATCTTGGGGTAGGGAACAATTCTTTAACAAGACACAAAAAGGAAAATGTTGATAAACCTGACTTCGTTAAAACTAAGAATTTCTGTCCATCAAGATACCATAAGAGGAAGAAAACATAAGCTCCAAACTGGGAAAAATTATTTGCAATACGTATATCAGACAAAGGATTAGTACACAGAATATATAGTGTGCCCATAAGTCAATAAGAAAATTACCAAAAAAACCATAGAAAAATGAGTAAAAGACTTGAATAAAGCATTTCACAGAAGACTAAACAGGAATAGCCCACAAACGTGAAAAAATATTCATCCTCATTAGTAATAGAGAAACGCACACTAAAACTAACAAGATACCCTTTCTTGACCACCAGATTAGCAAAAAATTAGGAAGTTGCACAATACCAAGGATTGGTGAGGTTGTGGAAGAACGGCAACTCTCATGCACTCCTGGTGGCAGTGTAAATTGGTACTACCACATCACCCAGTAATTTTAGTCCTGGCTGTGTGCCCTGGAGAATCTGCACACATGGATGAGCATATATGAATGCAAGAATGTTTACAGTGGCATGGGATTGTTTTGTTTTGTTTTGTTTTGTGAGGAAGATTAGCCCTGAGCTAACATCCGATGCCAATCCTCCTTTTTGCTGAGGATCCGTGCCCATCTTCTACTTTACATGGGATACCACCACAGCATGGCTTGACAAGCGGTGCCTCGGTCCACACCCAGGATCTGAACCTGCGAACCCCCACAGCTGAAGCGGAGCTCGCAAACTTAACCGCTATGCCACGGGGCCAGCCCCGGCATGGTTTTTAATAGCAAAAAATTGTTTCCCAAATGTCCACCAACACTAGAATGAATAGATACATTTGAGACATTAGATTCATACAATGGAACTTCGTATAGCAATAAAATGAACTCAAGATGCATGTAACATGTATCAAGATGCACTAATCTCAAAAGCATGATGTTGAACAAAAGAAGTAAGTTACAGAATACATATACTGTGACTCCATTTATATAAAGTTAGTAAATAGCAAAAACAAAACTATATCTTACATAGGGTTACCCATGTATGTGGTAAAATGAAATGTAACAAAGGGTGGAAAAAGAGAGTAAGTGATTAAATTACAGAAATCATGTATATCATCAACAAGACCAGTGCGAACAAAAACAAATGTAACAGTACACAAATAGATATTTGTGATTTGGGATAAAGTCTCCAGTGTCTTCATCATACATGAATTCAAAAGGTGCTGTAATGAAGGTAGTGTACTCTGGAAAACCGTTGGACAACTCAAAAAGTGGCCCTGGTGATAACAAAGACAATGATACTGAAGATGCATGAAAAGAGACTCTCTAAAAAATTTTTTTTCATTAAATCACAGTGGAAGAAAAGCACTTTTAAATTAACATTATTTTACATGTGACTTTAACTATGTATGTGTGATTGATTAATCTATATATTAAATAATGCAAGTAGACATGTATTTCTTCTACATTTATAAAACCATATGTATATTCAAGTTGGCCAAAAAACTTTCCTTTCAATCGTTGTGTCAGGATTATGGTGTTACATCTGGTAGATACTGTTAATGAGCGTCTGGACGGAAAGAGTTTTACCTGGAATGAATTTTTGCCACTTCTGATCCACATTGTATTTCACACAGTGATTTCCTGAAGGAAATATAATGATCTGTTCATCGAAGAAGAAGATATTGTTGGCCACGTGGGATCGAAGACCAAAAACATGCAGCGACTGAGCTACCACGGTCGACATGGTCCGCAGCCCGAGTTCTGCGGGAGACCGAGCGCTGCCGGTGAGGGTGAAGCGCGTCGCCCCGCCCCGCCCCGCCCCCGAAGTCTCCCGCGCCGCGTCCCCGCGCCCTCCCCGGCCCGCGCTGCTCCCCTTTCCTTCGCACCTTCGCGGCTTCCTGCTCGTCCTGACGACCCCCCGGTACCCCCTCCCACCTTTCGCTTCTTCTCGGATCCCCAGACCACGCACGTATCCACGGACAGTACCGCTACGGAGCCCAAGCAACGCCGGCACGTTCCAGCGCCGCGGCGGTTCCCATGGCAACAGCAAACCGGAAGTGTGGAGCAGCGGCCGGAAGCGGAAGTCCGATGAAAAAGTCCTGCAGCCGTGGTGAGTAGAGGGAGCTGGGGCGCTTCGAGTCCACGTGGAGCCGCGGCCGGAGAACAGGGGCTGAAGGCGGGCCGCGGCGGCGAGAGGCGCGCTTTCCCCGCCGCGCGGGCCTCGGGCCACGCTGCTCCCTCGGGTAGGTGTCGGACGTGCGCGCCGCGAGATGGACACGCCGCCGCTCTCGGGTTCAGACTCGGATTCTGATGATTCTCTTGTCACGGACAGAGAGGTCAGTGTCAGCCGAGCTCGCGGGCCAGGCGCGGGCGAGGGACCCCTGCACTCTGGTACTGACCGCCGATTGTGCGCTGCAGTTGCAGGATGCGTTTTCCCGAGGGCTCCTGAAGCCAGGCCTCAATGTGGTACTGGAGGGGCCGAAGAAGGCCGTGAACGACGTGGTGAGCTCGGGCGCCGGGTCGGGGTACTCGGACGTGGGATGCGCACAAGGCTCTGCGGTGCTTGGGAGACTGAGTTCTTGTCCCAGGAAGCACGCAGCCTGTGCGTTACGAGGGCGGTCAGTTTCCCGTCCGGGTACTGGGGGCTAGCGCTTTGTCCGTGGGCTTGTGCTCTTCTTGTGAGCTCAGTGTCTGAATTTCCTAGAATGGCCTGAAGCAATGTTTGGCAGAATTCAAGCGGGATCTGGAATGGGTAGAAAGGCTTGATGTGACCCTGGCTCCGGTGCCGGAAATCAGTGGACCTCAGTCAACATCTCAGAGCAAGGATCAGAAAGCTGTTGATCCGGAAGATGACTTCCAGCGGGAGATGAGCTTGTATGTTTTAAAATGTGGGAGAAGTTGTGGGTCCCTATGCTAGAGAGTGGGGAGAGGGGGCAAGTAGTGAGCGTATATTACTCAGAAGGTAGCCTAAGCTTGGGAGTAAGGACAAAGGCTTCTCTTGATTAAAAAGATCTGGGAGGGTCGGCCCCGTGGCTCAGCGGTTAAGTGCGCGCGCTCCGCTGCTGGTGGCCCGGGTTCGGATCCTGGGCGCGCACCGACACGCCGCTTCTCTGGCCATGCTGAGGCCGCGTCCCACATACAGCAACTAGAAGGATGTGCAGCTATGACATACAACTATCTACTGGTGCTTTGGGGGAAAAAAATAAATAAATAAAAATTAAAAAAAAAAAGATCTGGGAGATTTTCCTTGGTTGAGAGAATAGCCCCTTGGTCCACCAGTCACAATTCAAGGTCCAGTTTATTTTATTTTGAAATACTCAGTTTTCAAGTTTTTTGTGCATTCAATTATAAGGACAAAAATTTACTTATGGAAGGTTTTTATATGGACTTTTTTTAGTGACTACGTAAGAATTCATAATTGGAATTAGTTTGTAAGTTAATGGGTACTTTTAGAGTGGTCATTTTCTTAAATTACTTATTTATTTTTAGCAGTATTCCCCTGCTTTTTAAAAAGTGTGTACAGCTAAATTTCTCCCAGATACTAAGTTAGTGAGATTTTATTTCAGTTTATGTGTGTGTGTTCTTGCTGGTGGAGGTCAGATGTTGTGAGTCCTTCTGACCTTGGCTAAGTCATGAGAGGCAGTGAGAAGGAATGTGAGGGCCCTCTCCTGTAGCTGATTTCACACCTTGTCCACATCCTCAGCTACCGCCAGGCCCAGGCCGCAGTGCTTGCAGTGTTACCCCGCCTCCATCAGCTCAAGGTCCCTACCAAGAGGCCTGATGATTATTTTGCAGAGATGGCCAAGTCTGATCAGCAGATGCAGAAGGTAAGAAACAAGGTTTTCTCTGGAAAGCTGTGGCTTTGTACTTAAGTATTTTCAGCTGGCTTGTCTCCTATAATGTTTAAAAAAAGACAGCTGGATAATAGGGAGCCAGTTGTCACAGGACACTTATTATCTGGATTGTCTGCTTCAGACTCAGGCCAGTCACCACCAATTAGATAAATATAAGGAGGACTTTTTCCTAATTTCAACAATTAAGGGGAGGAGAAGTACTGTAAGAAGTGTGGTCCCTGAGGTGAAGATGGCCTTTTGCATTTCCTAGCTGGCATGGCGGCGTGGTGTGTAGAAAAACACAGTGCTTGTCCCAGCGTTGCCCGGGGGCAGTGCTATAACCCGTGGACAGTCCCTTTGCTCTGGGCCTCAGTTCTGTCTTCTATAAAATGAGGGATTTAATATATGGCTCAGGTGTATTATGATTTAGAGTTAGGTAGAACTTGGTCCTCATTTAACTGCGGGAGGAAAGAGAATTGCCAAAATCTAATCCTAGATTTGTTTAAATAGTTCCCTTGGGTCTCAAGCTGGATTTTCAGGAGCTCTTGTCTTGGTGGTACTCCGGGAAGCTAATGTCGAGATGACCCCAGACACGTCTCTGTACATTCACATTGACAGCTGCTCATCTTTTAACTGAAATGTGTGTGTTTGATGGAAGAGGCTAGGTCCTTGACATCTGTCTGAGTTTTTGATGTGTGTGTGATATATTGGAGAAGGGAACTGAGACTGCATGCTGGTTTAACCTCAGTTTGCAGACACTAGGGATGGGGGAGAAGTTAGTTTCTCCTGGCACAGCTGTAAGCAGGCGGTTTTGTATAATGGAACAAACAGCACACTGGGAGTGGAAAGGCCACTTTCAAGTTGTAGCTCCACTGCTGATACTTTTGGTATCTTGGACAAAGTGCTCAGCCTTTGGGCCTCCTTATCCTCATGTGTAAAACACAGGGCTTGGAATAGATGATTTACCAGGTTCCTTTGAACTCCACAGTTTGCAGAACTGGAAATATCTGTTTCCTGCTCCAATGCACCCTAAGTACCGGTCATCCCAGATTCAAATTAACATAAGCTGACAACATTTTGTGTTTTAGATTCGACAGAAGCTACAGGCTAAACAGGCCGCCATGGAGAAGTCGGAAAAGGCTAAGCAACTGAGAGCACTTAGGAAATATGGAAAGAAGGTGAGAAGGAAAACGTGCAGGGAGTAGGATGAGCAAGTGTGTTTCTCAGGCCAGATTGCCATGGTCTGATTTGGTTCTATGCCCCGTGTGTGTTTGATCTCACAGTGGGGGGTGTGTGCTGTCTTTCCTTGAGCATAGTCTTTCCTTGACACCACTGTGTCACCAGGAGTAGTGCGGTAACTGCAGGCGAGTCTGTCACCTCTCTGGGCTTCACCTTGCACATCTGTACAGTGAAGAGTTGGGATCAGATCAGTGGTTTCCAAAGCTGACCTCACAGCAGAATCACCTGGGGAAATCTTTTAAACCAGCTCTCGGCCTCAGAATCTCTGGGGAATCTATGTATGTTTCCTTCCCTTCCCCCAAAAGCTTCTCAGATGATTCCAATATGCATCCGGTTTGAGAATCACTGGCCTAAATGGTTGTAAAGTCCTTGAAGGAATCATATTATTGATTGTCACCCAATCTGAGAGAAAAAATGGCACCTGTGTGTTTGAACTATGAATGTCTATGTTCTAATGTAAAACCAGAACAGGCATACCATGAAACTTGTCTTGGTTTTTCTGCTTTATTTCGTGGTCACCCAAGAAAGAAGATGATAGGAATTAAAGTTAGGGTTATGGGAAGAAATGAGTATAAGGAGGATCAGCATGGGTGTTAAGACTTTGTCAACATTTTGACCTAAACACTTCTGATCTGGGGTGCTGAGCTCAGTCTATATTTGGACTCATTTCACTGATAGATCCTCAGTGGAGTAAGAGTAGATTAGCGTCCTGTCCTCTGCAGAAGGGCAGCTGTGGATTTCTTGGATTGATCTGGTGGTTGATGGCTGAGATCAACTCAAAGACATGGGCAATTGGTTTAACGTAATTTATCAAAAGCAAAGAATTCAGCTGGGCCTGTTAGCTCACTGTTTCTAATTTGAGGAAACCTCAGCGCCGTGGTTCTCAGCTGGGGATATTTTGCTTACCAGGGAACATTTGGCAATGTCTGGAGACATTTTTGGTTGTCATATCTTGGGGGGGAGTTGGCTTCTGGCTTCTAGTGGGTAGGGGGCAGGGATGCTGCTGAACATCCTGCAGTGCACGAGATGGGCTGTGCAGCCCCCAGCAAGTAATTATGCTGTCCAAACTGTCAGTGGTGTTGAGACTGAGAAACTCTGCCTTAGAGTATAAACGTCTCCTTTTGTCCTTAAAGGTTTTTTTCTTTTTCGTTTTTTGGGGAAATTGTTTTTTTCTGTTGGTACTTGTGCCTAGTGACAGTAGGTTAGATATTTAATCTGCCCAGATATAATGAATGGGGAGAATTGGATGTAGACTTAAACATGATTTGCTACGGTTTTGTAGGCAGGATTGTGTAATGGGGTAAGAGTGCAGACTGCCTGGGTGTGGATCTCAGCTCTGCACTTTCTCACCTTGTGACTCAAGCAAGTTACTTAACCTCTCTGTGCTTCACTATGGGGGGTGATAAGAATTTCTACTTCACTGGGTTGTTGTGAAGATAAACTGAGAATATACTTAGAGCCTTAGCATAGTTTTGGCACATGGTAACAGTTCAGGGGTGGTGGTGTTATCACAGTGTTGTTCCTGAGAGGATGTAGACACTTGCAGTGATTGTTTGGAATGGGGGTAACAGTCCTGTGTCCCTGTCCCAGGTGCAAACAGAGGTTCTTCAGAAGAGGCAGCAGGAGAAAGCACATATGATGAATGCTATTAAGAAGTATCAGAAAGGTCAGTATGTCTCCTTCCTAAGCATGGAGAGACCTGCAGGACTGGGTACCTTAGGGTTGATTCCAATACAGAGTCTCTGCAGCCTTGGGAATTGTTGGAGCTAAGGTTTGGGGATGGTGTGGGGAGCGAGATGTGCCTCTTAAAATCAATTCAGTAACAACCTTTTTTTGAAGTTTAAGCTTTTAAAATGTGATGGCGCTGATCAAAGTACTTCCTCACTCCCAGGCTTCTCTGATAAACTGGATTTCCTTGAGGGAGATCAGAAACCTGGTGCCCGGGGCACGAAGGAAGGAGCTAAAGGCCAGCAGATGAAGAAGGGGTATGAACTATTTTTGTTTAGTTTTGTTTTGTGGTGGGTGCTGTGCCAGCAGCTCCTGAGTGCGGCAGGGACCTCCACAAGGAGAGGCCCAAGAGTGCAGCTGCTGCCTGCGGCCAGACTTACAGGGCCGTGTGCTGGGTCCTTTTAGCCATATCAGTCTTTGAAGACAAAGTAAGGCGATTTAAGGATTTGGCACATTTTAAGTAAATACTCAATAAAAGTTGATTTCCCATTTCACAGTGTGATGGTTAAGAGCACCTAACCTAGGGTTCAGATCCGGACTCGGCCCCTCATTAGGAGGGGAGCTTTGAGCAAGTTACTTTACCTATCTAGATGTTAATTTCCTCACCTGAGAAAATTGTATGTGCCTCATAATGGTATGAAGATTAAAAGATGATAATGTTAGATATTATAATAGTTCTTTTTAGTTTACCTTTACACATACCTGGACACCAGGCCTGGGGGAAATGATAATTTCTGTGTAACAAAGTAAGTGCTATGATAGAGGCATTTAGGGAGTAGTATGGAAGCACATTTTAGAAATGTCTGACATGGTCCAGGGTTCAAGGTCTGGTGATGGCTTCCTGGAGGAGGGTCCCACCTGAGCTTAGTCTGAAGGGTGGGTAAGAATTAACCAGAAGTCTAGGAGAGACACAGATTTTGGGGAGAGAAGAACACAAATGAGTAAGAGCATAGAGATGAAAACAGCAGGTTTGTGTGAGGAGCAGCAAGCGTCTGGTGTCAGTAGGAATACAGTGTGAGGCAGGGAGTGCTGAGGGGCAGCTGGGTGGGGCCCCGGGCCGAGTCACAGAAGCATGTTTGTTTGCCTTCTTGAGAAGCTTGGGCTTTATCCAGTAGGTGGTGGGGGACACTGATGGGCTTTACTCAAAATAATGAGCAGGTCATATTCATGCTTTTAAAAAGTTACAGTGGTACTTGTGTAAGTGATGGGCTTGAAGGAGGCAGGGAAATTGATTAGGAGGCTATTACAAAAGTCCAGAGAGCAATGATAATGACCTGAAAGTGGTAATGGGGATACAGAAGAGAAAATGAAGAAATATTCACGGGGTTAGATTAGCAGAACTCAGTAATTGAGTTGGGTGTAGAGAGTGAAAGGAAGAATCCAGGCTGACTCCCAGGTTTCTGGCCTGGGTGGCTGAGTAGATGGTAGTACCACCTACCTCATGTTAGGGCATATATCCTGGAGGTGAAACCAGGCTAGGAAGGGAGATGACATGGGATCTGGGATATGCTAAATTTGAGATTCCTGTAGAATGACCAGTTATAAAATTTATTACATTTGAATGTTAACTGCATGTAATAAATTGAGACTAGAAACAACTGAGGATGATTTAGCAAGATTTAGTTAAACTAGAAAGCTTTCCAAAGATAAATGGTGAGCCACAGATGTATGTGTGTCCTTTCCTGGTTCTTGCTTTGTTAGTTTTCCTGCTCTAGTGGTTAAAACTGTAAATAGACGAGCTTGCCTGGGGAGTTGGTAGAGTAAGAATGGAGGGCTAAGGATGAGATTCTGGGTAACAGTGGTGTCTAAGGGGCTTTGCCTTAAGACAGGAAATTGATGGTATTGTTGGGCCATGAGATTCATCAGGATTTGCAGTGCTGCAGGTGAGCTGTAAGACTGCTTTTTCCAGGCCCAATGCAAAACGACGCTATAAAAACCAGAAGTTTGGTTTTGGTGGAAAGAAGAAAGGCTCCAAGTGGAACACTCGTGAGAGCTACGATGATGTATCCAGCTTCCGGGCCAAGACAGCTCATGGCAAGGGCCTCAAGAGGCCTGGAAAGAAAGGGTCAAATGTAAGTGAGCCAAGGGATCAGGTGAGAGGCCAGATCTGCCTCCTCTCCCACCCCGACACCCACCTGCTCCCTTTCTTTCCCTGTGTATCCTGACACTGGGGCAGAAGGCCACACTGCTGTGTGACCACATGTGGTATTTCTTTTTCTGTAGAAGAGACCTGGTAAACGGACAAGAGAGAAAATGAAGAGCAGAACACGCTGAGCAGCATCTTTGTAAACAGAACCAAGAAAAAGGAATGAAGACTTGCGATTTCATGGTGCAATTGGATCCCTTCTGTTGGTTTCTTTTTGTAAAAAATTCTTTCAATAAACTAAAGAAAAATTTTCAAAGAAATATATACTCTTGGTTAAAAAGTCAAGACAGATTTAGAAGTTACTTTTACATATTAAATAATATTGCTATTTATTGATAATAATTTAGACTTTGAGTCCAAATGGCCTTCCTTTTATGATAGATGAAAATTTAACTTACACCCCTCCCAATTCCTCTTTCCCCCCCCTTCCAGATACTTGTATCATGATTTTAGATAAATCAGGAATCAGTGTTTATATCGTTACGGTTGTATAAATACCAGTCACTGCCATGATAAAATTTCCTTTGTGGTACAGCTTCTGGTTTTTCGTTGCGTTGATTGTCACCTTATATTTTTCTATGTGTCTAATTTTCCTTCTCTATCCTTATTTTTTCTTAGATGCTTTGTCATTTACCTACCTTATAACTTTCCTGCTACAATCTACGTCTGTCAAACCACTGTCACCCTGTCTCTTCTAGACCTTCTAGATGGGATCCACTATTTCCTGGATCCCAGATTTTCCCGTCTTAGCTTATGCCTTCTTTTGCTGTATACCACATTCTAGTGTCTTCCTAGGAAGGGGAACATGGGAGGTGAATTTATCTCCTTGCATTTCTGCAATTGCCTCTAATTTGGCTGCTGTGAATTTTCCCTGAGAGCGTTGCTGGCCCAGATCTTTGTCTCACAGCCTCTTGTGTTGCCACTGGGAAGTCAGTGCCATTCTGGTTCTCATTCTTCCCCCAGAAGCTTTTCTTCTCTCCGCACCTGAGATTCCATGATGGCCTGTGGTGGTGTGGGCCTCTTCTCATTCTTTGATTAAGGTATTTGGAAGGTTTCAGCTTCTTCAGTCCTGGCAGATTTTATTTGATAACCTCCCTCCTATTTTCTTTGTTCTAATTCTGGAATTTCTGGTAATCAGATTTTGAACCACTTCTGCTGATCTTCTAAGTTTGTGTTTGTATTTATAGGGGAAAGATTTCTTTTTCTAAGTCATTTTGTTGAATATTTATTTTAGCTTTCATTTTTCATTTTATCCCCCACAAGTTCTTTATTCTCTAATTGCTTGTTTTTCATATCATCTTTTTTTTTTTTTTTTTTTTAATTTTTTTTTTTTTTTTTTTTTCCCCCCAAAGCCCCAGTGGATAGTTGTGTGTCGTAGCTGCACATCCCTCTAGTTGCTGTATGTGGGACTCGGCCTCAGGATGAACGGAGAAGTGGTGCCTCGATGCGCACCCGGGATCCGAACCCGGGCCACCAGCATCGCAGCGTGCGCACTTAACCACCAAGCCACAGGGCCGGCCCATCATATCATCTTACTCTTACTCTATAGATGCAGTATCTAATCATATCTAGAATATGAGTTATAGTTTTGGTTTTTAAAAAGAGTTTTCTTCTGTTCCTTTCATTTGGTTTCCTCAGATTTCCCCCCCCTTCCCTGTGCATTTGGTCTCCCTTTTTATGGTGAGCCCTGTGGAAGTTAAGATCATGGACTCGGGGCCAGATTGCTGGGCTTGACACCTGGCTCTGCTGCTTCCTTGCTGTTTGACCTTGGACAAGATAGTTCTTTGTGCTGTGTCATCTCTATGTAGAACCAAATAGGGTTCCTGTCAGCCCTAATTTAGTTAATATATGTGAAATGCTTAGAACACTGCCTGCCATATCATAAGCATAAATGCCTGCTTAGGATTATTTTGCTGGGGTGGCTTTCCTTAATGTCTGATGAGCCTCAGTGGTACATACTTGAGAGGTACTCAGATGCTGGCTGGAAGCTATGCATAGGACAGACATGGGTGGGCAGGCGATGTTACGTGTTGGGCTTTACTGTGTGCTGATAGAGTGAGAGGTCAGTTTACCTGTCCTCCCTCTCTCCATTTCCGTTTAGAAACCATACTTTAAGGAGGCTACAAATATCTGAGAACTATATATTCTTAAGCAGGAAGAATAATTTATTTCCACATTATTTCCTTTCTTGTAGCATCACTGGTACATGAAGAAGGACATTTCTGGTTTCATATGATACTGAGTTTCTAGTACCAAAAAAATGAATGTAGTTTCTGTTCAATTTTGTTCGATTAACAAACTTCTGAGCAAATAGGTCATCTTTTCAGAAGACCAAAATATTTTACCCTGGCCTGTTTTTGACAATCTGTACATTAGTGAATGGGGTAACATATAGTAATTCAAATATGGAGTCTCAGAATCGGTTAGAGACTTTAATTATGTGTGGAACATATTGAGAGTGGTTTTTTTTTTTTCCCTGGGAAAGATGTGCCCTGAGCTAACGTCTGTTGCCAATTTTCCTCTCTTTTTTTTTCCTCCCCAAAGCCCCAGTGCATGGTTGTACATTCTGGTTGTAAGTCCTTCTAGTTGTTCTATGTGAGCCGCCACCACAGCACGGCTACTGACAGACGAGTGTGGTTCTGCGCCCGGGAATTGAACCCGGGCCGAAAGCAGAGTGCACCAAACTTGAACCACTAGGCCATGAGGGTTGGCTCATATTGAGAGTTTTAAGAAAGGAGAAAACAGGTTAACAGCTTTTCACATTGGTAGAGCCAAAAGTAAGTTATTAATGCTAAGTACTTTCAAAAGATTTGAAAACTATGTATCTTCCTTCTATTTTTTTTCTTTTTTGTATAGCATATGGAATCACTTTCCATAATTGCATTAGAACTCACTTACATCACTTCCTCTACTATCCCAGTCCTCAAAATAAAGTATAAGCAGGGTGCAGGCAGTTTTATCCCTCGTTGTGCTTTAAAATGCAATTACATGCCTTGAAAGATAGGTAGGAACCCAGCAGTTCCCAGTACTGAGTACCGGCTGTTATTGCTTTTCATGGTTCTAATATGCATGGATCTTAGTTATCAAGGTGCAGTTAAATAACAGCAGTCTCAACAACACTGTTCACATTTCAGTTACTGAAGTGTTGTTAACAATGAGTAATTGCAGAAAGTAGAAACTTGGCAGTCTGCGAATCACTACGTAAATAATAGATGCATAATGATTAGTGACCAGTCGTGCCTTCCATGACTTCCATGACTGCTCGCTGCCCCTCTGTTCCTCAGTGCATGCACACATGGCAGAGTGCAGTTGTGTGGCCTCCCAGCAACAGACCCACATGGCATTTTACAAAAGTGCAATTGAAAGAAAGAATTGACCAACAAACATGAAAATGCAGCAAAGAGTGAAAAGTGATAAGATTGGAAGTAAAATTTGAATGGAATGCAAATGAAGTTGTGGGAGAAGTAGCTGGGGAGGGAATGGTGGCCACGCTGCTGCTGCTCTGAAGGCGAGACGCAGTCAGAGAGGAAGGGAATGCAGCTGAGACTGGAAACGCAGTCAGAGAGGAAGGGAATGCAGCTGAGACTGGAAACGCAGTCAGAGAGGAA